CGGCACGGCAGGACTCCTCGCTCCAGCCTGCTGTGGGCAGAGAGATGCTGCCTGACCTCATTTAGGGTCACCCTCCCTGGATGTGCCTTTTTCCACCCAAAAAATACCATCTTGGGGATAGAAAAAACAGGATTTGGGCTGTTTTGCAAGGGGATCCCATGGAGGGGATGGTGGCATCCCCGGCTCCGGGTGATGCTAAGGGCTTCCCTACGGACCACCGCTCTGCTCTGCCCCTGTTCCAATGTTCCCAGGTCCCTTTGGGTGACGGGTTTCACACACTGCGCATCGCCGCTCCCCCCTCACCTCGGTGGTAACACCACTTAACTTTCAGTTGTTAATACTCCCCTCTGAAGGCTGCCTGCGGATGCTCTCCGGTTGCAAAGCTGGACGGAACCGAGTGCCCCCAGTCACCCCCCACCGGACCCTCGGCCTTGCCCAGCCCACCAGAGACACCCCAAATCCCACCCGCCGCCCCATTTCCCACCCCGTGCCCAGTGCCACTAGATGGCATTTGAACACCGCGCACCCGGGACCCACCAACACGGCGAAGGTTTCGACGCCTTCGGTACAAAATCCTCCTCGTTTCCCTTTGCATCTCGAAACCGCGTCTCATCACCTGCCCGAGCTCAATTTCTCTTCCAAGGGGAAGAAAAACAAAATAAGCCAAAATACTATTTAAAAATAGGGGGAAAACCTAGAAACTGCAAAGCAAGTTGGGTTTATTTTCTGTAGAAGTTTGTTTCCTATGGAAAATGTGGCTTGGGCTGCCCCCAAACGACATTTTTTTGGTCCTGCCTCTAAGAAAAAAAAAAACCCAACAAAAAAAAAGCCAATTTTTTGCAGAGCCCCCGGGTCTGGCAGCACCCTCCCCCGGCAGCACCCACTGGGATGCTCCGGTGGGAAATGGGGGACCCGGATGAGCAACCACGCGGCCACCGAGTCGGGAATATCTACTGCAGGTGGGAAAACAGTCTTGAGAAATGATGCCTCGGGTATCACCTGGTGGATTGGAGAGGAGGAATTTTAACCAAATCTGGTTTATCCTCCCGAGATGGCGGGGAGGAGGGGGTAAGAGAGGGACGGGCAGACCCGCCGTCCCCGCTGGCACATCTCTCTGCTCCCTCTACACCCTCAGCCTCCTCCACCCACCCGGGTGCCCTCCAGGGAGCCCCATCCCAAAGATATACGCTAAAAGAAAACCCAAAAACATCAGGATAAATCCCTCCCCAAGGCTGGAAAAGCACCTGAGAGCCCCGGGTAGCATCCCCCTGCCGGGCACCTCCGAAGCACGGTGCGCCGGCACTTCCCCATCTCGCCAGGGAACGATGGTACTGGTAAAAATGGGCACCACTGGGCCTTGGGGACACCAATAATTCCTTAACGAATCCCTCGATGGAGCCGGGGCACCTCCACCCTGGGGGAGAGCAGACCCGTCCTCCCCACGGCCGCCCCAATCCTGCGCAGCACGCAGAGAAAAAGCACTTTTCAAATTTTTTTTTTTTTTCTTTTCTTTCTTTCTTTTCAGTCGTTTATTTTCAAGCTCCAAAAGGGGTATTACAAAGAACAGACAGGAAAAATAACAACCAGAAAGCTGTTCTCGCACACGGTAGTGACGGTGTCCGTTTAGGATGGAGGAGGGGGTGGGGGGACGATGGCCGAGGTGGCAGCAGCACCGGTGCGGGGACACGATGTACCCTGCACGCACCGGGGTCCCCCCTCGCCACGGCAGCAAACGCCGCAGGAAAACTGCTCACCCACGAGCTGTGAACTCACGGCACCAGCTCAGACCCAGTCACTTGCCTTCTGAAACCCAGTATGCCAACCTGCTCTTCTCCTCCCCCCACCCCCACCCAGGACGGACCCCAAATCAGCAATAAAACCCCCCCATTTCAAGACGGGATGGGGGGCA